CCAATTTAAGAAGCTAATCGTACTTACACCAGCACGATATGTGTTTGTTGATTTATGTTGATGAATAAAGATTGTAGAAAAAAATGGCGTTTTTAAAAAAAATATACATGTTTTTAATAAGTGTCAGGCGCTGGCAGGAGCTTCAATCATATCAAGCGTGGATGGTGGAGATGTGAAGTCAAAATATGCGGTTCTAAATTGGCCCTTTGATGAAACTGGCATCTCACTAGAGGAGTACATAGTAACACAGTATATAACCACCCACATACACACGTACACAGAAAGCAACTTAATGACGTTTTTGTTTAGGAGTATTACTTGCGTGATAAACATGCAATCCCCATGAAAGAAGTCCCTGCCGACCCTGCTGACCCTGCTACGATGGAGCCTGATCAGATTGCGCTGGAAATGAAATCGATACATCGCCTCTGTGAGAAAAAAAAAAGAAACAAAATTGACAAACGGACAAGAATAAATCACAAGTTTGACATGGTATATGCATAATGGAACAGGGCTAGGAGATTCATAATTCAGCCTATTGATCTGGTACAATGCACAGGCCTATTATCATTGCAATAGGCATCATGCTAAAGCAAGTCTTCTTTGGTGATTAATAATACTTCATCTTTATTGAATGACTGATTGCTTTGAAACACCATGCAAAGAAGATGTATGTGTAGATTTATGTAGTAGAAGTGGTTTCTGATGTGTAATGCTGACATTTTAAGTTAGGGTTGAAAGACTACTTAAATACAGAGTGAAATTACTGTTTTGTATGCATATTATTTCACTTTCTCTACTATTCCCACATTTTTACTGTATCCAGAGTAAAAAGAATGATTCAAAATTATGAAAAATGTACTTGAATTTACATTAAGTGTAAAAGCGCTGACATTAGGGATGTAGCAATGACCGAAATATCGTGACATCGTATCGTCAAAAGTCTCATCGTGGGCTGCCATGATATATCGAATTATGAGTTTCTTTGCTTAAATGCATTGTTTTACAGTAGCAACAGCTGATAAACATAGGAAACTACATATCCCATGATTCATTTCAGTGCAAATAATGCAAAGAAATATGTTTTTTACTTGAATTTTTGGTATTAGGACAGAAATAATTCACACCAAAATCTTGTCAAGGTATTTTAAAAGCAGAAAAATTATAGTAGCCTCTCCAAAATATCGCAATAAATATAGTACCGTGAGATGCATATCGTGATAATATCATATCGAGAGATTTGGATATTGTTACATCCCTAGCTGACAGTTTTAATGTAATATACTGCTGTTTTACACTACACAACTACTACTGCTACTACTATGCTTCTGACCACTACTACTATTACTGCATAAACAATATTACTGCTTCGACTCTGCAACTAATACTATTACAATTACTATGCCTAGTAAAATGATAGACAATTTGATTAAAACTAGTACTACAAAGTGTTATCTTCTCTGTTCCTAGAGGAGCTGACTAAACCTCCCCTGTCCTGAATACAAACTCACATCTTCCATCTCTCCTGTGTACCTTTTGGTGAGACTGTAATCCTGCTCCTCCCCAGCTAGTCTTTTATAAAATCTCTGCTTTTTCAGCCCTGATCCATCCAGGAACAGAGCAGTCCTCCTCTGTTACTGTCCCCTGTACTCTGCTACCCCAATGCACACATCGAATAATAGCAGTCAGTTTTTATATCAGCAAATCTAAAACAAGCATTACAACTAATTATATAAAAAATGTAAATAGAAATCTGTTGACATTTGATACAAAAATGATTCAAACCAAGCTTCCAAAAATATATGACATAAATTACGTTTAAATATTGTCTTTCCTAAAACTAAAGGTGCACTGAATTTTTTGCTTTTTGAGGTCCGTCACCTGCATTGTTTCTGTGGATAAGTCATTGCTCTGCCTGGAATGTTACACAATATGACATTACACAGTACTACCTTACATTTATTAAATTGCAGGTGGTTTTCTAGCTCAAAAATACCTAGAAAAATAAGCATTCTGACTCTGAGCATGGTCGCCTCTCCACAGATCTAACCTGTCTGCTTTGGTTTGGTCTCAGTGAAAATAGAAAGTTTCAATGTCATACTGTGAAACATTCAAGATAGGGCTGGGAATCATTAAGAATTTGCCGATAGGATACATATCTTGATACATAGGCCGCGATACGATACATATCTCGATACAGTGCACTTTCAATTTGATACGATTCAATAACATCTCCAAGAAAAGCTTTTGCAATTAAGTCAATACACCTTTAAAGATTCACTATGTAAGTTTTTTTTTTATTATAGATGTTCCGTCACCTGCTTGTCTCCATTGAGATGTGACGCAGCCGGTAAGAATGCATGTTTTTTTATGCAGATTTAAAAGTACAAAGAGCATTAGGCTTCTGAATAAAATAATACTTACAAACTAATAATACTAAAGCAATTAACCAGAACTGTGTATTTGAGGGGAAACTGTATAAGCCAGGGAGAAACTTGAACTTCAGTCTGCGTTGTTGTTTTGTAGTGCTCTACTGGCGCCTAGTGGACAACTTTTATACTGCAACTGGGGCTCTGCTTTAAATTTTTGAATCAGTATAAAAATCAGTTCAAAGTGGAAAAAGGCAGTGGAGTAAAATATGATAGGGAAATTGCAAGCAATGAATGGATGAATGAATAATCTATTTGTTTCTTCCTTTCATTTATTACTGGTCTGACCGTGAGCAGAAGCAGGGAGCATTGTGGGTAATGTATGCTGATCCATGGTGTGTCAAAGCCCAGCAGGAGCACACAAGCACCATCCTCAGTCCTGCCCCGGGATGTACAGGCTGTGGGACATCTGTTATTATGGCTCATGGTCATGTATGTGTGTGCATGTGTCTGTGTGTGTGTGTGTGTGTATGTGTGTGTGTGTGTGCATGTGTGCATGTGTGTGAGAGGAAAATGGAGGGGGGGCACGTCTCAGTAAAGACACAACAGAAGTCTTCTAAAACATTCATGTGATTTGTGCCACACTGGGTTTTGTGAGAACATCAAAGACAACATGGGAACAATGTCTAACGATACAAATGTACCAGGATAATATGGTTCCAAGGACTGAGGCAATGTGCACTGATACATATTATATATATAAATATTATATGCTTATGGCTTTGGTAGTGTAGCCTGTGTGCATCTCCCAACTCTGAGAGTAGCTGAAAGTAAGGATAAAATTATTTTTTTTTTCTTAGTTACAAAAACATTGGATGTGATGTTCAATTTGGGGTTTTGGTTCTCATGACAAAACAATCCAATCAGAAAGAGTCTCACATAAGTATCTCATTTGGGGTGCCAGTTTCCATGTTTGACCATGGATATGAATATAATCTCATTATACTTCCATGGCTTAAACCTAAAATGCTCTCTGATCTGATTGGTCACTACCTAAATCCCAGCACCTGCAGTCATCCTGAATCAGTGCTAATGCAGCCTCTGCAGCTTAGGAAGGGAATTCTGGAGGTTCTGAGCTTTCACATATATACTGAGAATGAGAAAAACATATAATATATGAACATATAATTTCATTAAACGATCTAATGATATTGTACTATGTTGTATTAACATAATTTTACTATAGACTTTTGATACTATGCGCAAAGATGCAATAAGATGTTTTTGTAAGATACACAAATTAATGTACCTAAAATGTAAAATGGACATTGAGTGATACTAACAATAATATTATTTCACAAACAGTAATATTGCTTTGAAGTGCTTTAGATTTGTTCGGTAGACTGTTGGAACATCCCACACATCACGGACCCATTAGGCTTGTAGCTGTGACTGTGATGATGACATTTGGACACTAGAGGGAGCAGTGTACACACACTTGAACCCTCTCACAGAGGAGGAAACTTGCTCATGTGAGGTAAGTGTTGGGTGATCAGTGAATAGTTTGAGTGATGAAGTGATCAAGTTTCTGTTGAATAGTGAATAATTAAATTCACTAATTAATGAATGTTTGTATGTATGACCACAACAGCAGACAATTAGGTTAGTCAGTTCATTGCTCATTATTATGCTAATTACATGAACAATATTAAGTTGCAAAATGTAATACTGCATTAACCTGTCATTACTGACCTATAGAATTAAGTTCAGTTCAGTTAATTTATTTGAGCAACTTAAAATATGATATTAACAAGAGATGACATATTACAATTATGCTCAAAAAGTAGCAAAAATCAGTATGAACTGACTCCTGCTAGTGTGATCTCCTACCCTCTAACAGTACACTTATATTGTGGAACAAAGAAAATAAAATATAAATGTGCAGTACAAGTTGAAACCTAAGGGGAGCGGTTCCAGATCACAAGGTGTCAGTGGCAGTTCAGTTTATGAGCCTGGAGGGACTTCATGTGATCGTTTCCTGAACAAACATTTGGCACATACAGAGTTTTTATTTGAATAAGCAAATAAGATATTGTTTTTAGTTTTTTGTGAATGAAAAATGTATAGTTTTTCAGCCTGGATTGTACTGGTAATATGGTCTAATTCTTAACATTAATGTCCACTACCAATGAATTAAACAAGTATATAACTATCACATAGGTGGTACTGAGTGGTGTTTTCCACACTGTAACCATTTTAGGGTCCATAGGTGCGGGGCTTGCGTCTTGTGATTTTTACACTAAATCTAAGTAGTTAAGACACTGCGGCTACATTTGAAATGGGAAAGCACTGTCAGTGAATCAGTATTTGCTGTTTTAATGAAGAGAAACACAAAAACCACACGTGCTTGTCCTTAATCTAAATCTATCATCAATGTTGCATATGTCTTAGTCTTTTTAGAATGAATAATACAATATGTTACCATTCCAAATCTTTCTCCAGAGGGGTTCCCTATTGGCACCGCCAGAGCTGAGAGCAGAGCAGTGCAGAGCAGAGAGCAGGGGGCGGGGAGACAGAGAGGGGAGGAGGGACGCACACTTCAGACTTCCATTCGTCCTCACTCGGCTGCATTCGCTTTACAACACTGGAGACGCCACCATGCTGTGGAAACTAGTGGAGAATGTCAAGTATGAAGACATTTATGAGGTAAGGACTCATTCTCATGCTCTTTTACAGTGATCTTTGCACTTTTGTCATTTTCATGTGAAATAGAGAAGAATGTGAGTGGATGTGGATTTTAGAGGCCTGAGCAAAAAAACTGGAGGCAAATTTGAAGAACTGACTGATGGAATTTTAGAGAGGAAAACAACACCAACGTGAAAGTATGTGACCCTTGCTGCTAATGGGTGTTACTCATTTAGTCTATTTTAGTTAAATTTTTATATATTCTGAATATAGAATTTTCAGCTTTTGAGAAATTGTGAAAGTGAAAAGAAAAAAAGGGTATTTTTTTGTTATTATCATATGCATTTTGTGTAAACATTATTATTATTATTATTATTATTATTATTATTATTATTATTATTATTAATATTAATAATAATAATAATAATAATAAAATATATATAATAATAATATTGTGTGGAAGTTATTTGGCTTGGGTCCAAACTGTGAGAATGAGAAAGGAGCAAGGAGTATGTGAACGCTCACACAGTGTATAATAGCAGCTGGAGAGATCAGGACAGAACAGAGGAGCTCCGAGGCCGTGCTGCCCGGTGGGAAGTCGTTGTGTCGTGCCGCACATGGCCGTTCTCCCACGGCGAAAGGGAAAGGAGGGAGGCAGTTATCCAAAAGAGTAAGGATCCCGGAGTCAACACTGCGCTTTTACGCACACTTCACCCTGTTATCTTTTAAACCCTGGCCAAACTAAGAGTCAGTCGTGATCTGTTATAAATCTGAAAAATTTAATAAAAATGTTCTTTAACAAGTTAGAGTATTATAATAACGTTTCATAGATAACCACAACCGCATAACCTATTATTTTCAGTCTATTGTATGCATTTGCTGCACTGCGTTTGTTTTGTGCGTAAAATGACTTTAAAGCCTCGAAAGTGACGCACTCTGTGCGCCAAATGGCCTTAAGGCTGCAGGTTTTATGCAGGGAATTGCGCTGGGTTCTGGATTGTGTTTGAGTCCCGTCTGTCTCCTGCAGCTTGTGCTCGTAGCTCTCAACGGAGTTTAAACGTCACTGATGGTGGCGCGAGGGAGAGGCTTCACGCTCCGCGTGTCGCCAGTCCCCTGCCTCGCGCGCATTAATATTCCTGTAAGTCTCAGTCATGAATAACAATTACAGCATATACCGGGGCTAGGGGCGCGCGCACACTCAGAGCGGCGGCAGCTCCGGGGCAGGACGAGCACAAGCGGAGCTAAAAGCAACACGAACGGCACTATCACCGGCTTTAGACCTTTATAGAACCAGACCCCGAGACCTGTTCCGATCTGCGATAGTCACCGGATGTTGGTCCACTCCTACTCCTCGGTGAGTGCGTGTAGGCAGGGTCTCTAGACCAACTATAAGGCAGGATGGTTGAACTTGACTTGGGAGGGAAAGTCTTTATTTCACGTCTAACGCATTTTTCTCTCCTCCTCCTGTCATGTCTTTTTCTCTGTGGCTCTCTGTGCCTGTGTAATCAAGGACCGGCATGACGGCGTCTCGAGCCACGGCTCGCGCCTGTCACAGCTGGGCTCGGTGTCGCACGCGACACCCTACTCCAGCGCACCGCCTCTGTCCCATGCACCCTCTTCGGACTTCCAGCCACCTTATTTCCCGCCACCCTACCAGCCCCTAGCGCACTACCAGAGCCAGGATCCATATTCGCACGTGAGCGACCCATACTCGCTCAACTCACTCCACCAGAGCCAACAGGGCGCGTGGGGCACGCGGCAGCGGCAGGACGCGACAGGAGAGCGCGTGGATAGTTCGTCACTGCTCGCTCAGCCCCGGGCCTCGCTGCCACAAATTGGGTTGGACCCGCGCCGGGACTATGGACACATGCGACGGCCCGATGTCCTGCTGCACGCGCATCCGGGGCTGGAGCCTGGGATGGGAGACGGGCTGCTCCACGGACTGCACGGCCTTGAGGATGTCCAGGTGAGACGCTCGAATGAGCCGTGTGGACAATTCCGCATTTTGTCTAAACTATATTTATGTATTTATATTTAATATCCTATTCAATATTAAGCCTGTAAGTACACACTTAAAATTTTCACCCACAGATTATCAAATATTATTTATATTGTTTTTTTTTTTAACCTATATTATTTTTCTTTTTTTGGGGGGGTAATTACGGAATTTTGTTTTGGCTAAACATCGTAGCCTATTGATAATGAGCTAATGCACACAGTTTTTTATAATACATTTTCTGCAGTTTAGTCGAAAAAAAAAAAAGAAAAGAAGAAAAAAAAAAAGTAAAACCCAGGCTTCTGTTTTCAAATCGGTTCAAGTCAGTGAAGGCTTCCCTCTGGGCTGCACCTCCAGTAAAGACGAGTGACCCACAGCCGAAGGGACCAGGGCCTCGGGACAGAGACGCACAACCAGATGTGACCAAGAAGCTCCAATATTTACTAAACAATTTCTCCAATTTATGCCATACAGTTAACTCTTAGATTATCAGTAATTATAAGAAAAGTACATTGACCACATTTTTGATAAAACAGCTTACATTTTATTCTAAATTGCCATAATAAGTGCATGTGGAAAAATATGCTTTTTACGCACCAGCCCATGGTTCACACGGATAACTGTTCCCGAGAAGCTTGTGCAGATTATAGAGAGGGAAAGGGTGACCAGTCAAATGGACTTTATGGATTCCATCTTCTCTCCGTCCGCCCCGGGGCACAGCCATCCCGAATTGTTTGCCATTTAACCTCGCCTCATTCTGGCTTTGCGCATTTGTGTCACGCTTTTATTAACCCCGATATAAAACATTCTTCCCCTTTTATTTCTCTCGTGTGGAGAAACGATGATCAATTTAACAAGTCGTTTATTTGGAGCGATGATGGATAGGGCTTTGTAGCTGTTTTTAGATGGAGATGTTTATTACGCAGAGTTTTAAAGGTGCTTTAAATTGGCTTTAGGTTAGTTTTTTTTTTTTGTGTCAAAATATTTCCGCTTTATGCAGCTGCAATAATGACTCTGGAATTGGGGACTATGTGAAACACCAATTATGGAAAAATAATATAGCCTATATATTTTAAAGATTTAGGAGGAAAAACATTAAAACATTCAAATGTTTGCAAAGTCTGACTAGTGTTTGTCTTGATTCAAACAGACCATTGATGACACCAACGGAACCAACGTACTGGACCAGTCAGTCATCAAGAAAGGTACGTGAAATCATGAGCACACACGATTTCCGTTTAACTTTACTGGGAAAGAACGCTGTAGTTTTTCGATTCGTCGTGTAACATTTGGTTTTCAGTCTTTTTCAGTGATGAGTTAAATAACAGGCGCGTCCACAGATGAACATCAGTCGCCAATTAGGATTTTTAAAAGTATCAAAATTTTGAATGAATAGGCGCTGTTTGTGGCTGTGCGTAAAACCCGCGCACACTGCGTATACAGAATGTTGAATACAGTGAATATACTTGTAGAGTGACAGGGCTTGTCTCCGGTGAAGCCCGTTAGCTCGATGTTGACGTTGTTGTGGCACGCGCGCACGCTGACAGGCCTCGCTCTCCTGAAGCGCGTTGATTTAGTTCCGGGACGTTGAGTGACTGCGCTCCCCGCGGGGCATTTAGCCGCTGATGTAATAAATGGCACCGCTCACAGAGAATCTCGTGAGCTCGTTTAGAGCTAATCTGGAGTATTATCCCCCGTGGAGCCATCAGGAGCCACGCGCCCTGGCCCACCACTACGCGCAGCCAGCACTGGCCCGGGATGGAGGAGTAAACCGGCCGTGCGCGGAGGAAAAACAAGAGGGGGTTAACGCGATTAGAAACAAGGGCCAATCAACGATCGATAACGTGGCAGTAAGAATGTCGCGCCACATTAAATAACAGTGAGTGTCCTATACGTTAGGCCACGAGGGCCGCACACGGGGTGCGCCTCTAGCTGAGAAAAAGAAAGGATGCCAAAGGAGGGCGTGCACCTATTGCATCCTCCGGAGATTAATACCATGTTCTGACTGAATATATATTTAAAGGCATAGCCTAATGTTTACAGTTCAGGCCACCATTTAACCACTGATGCCCTGCTCTCCTCAGTGCCCATGCCGCACAAGAACGTGGGCTCCCTGATGCTGGGGAAGGACGGCCTGATTGGCGGAGTCAGTGTCAACATCAACGAGGTGTTCTGCTCGGTGCCGGGCCGCCTGTCTCTGCTCAGCTCCACCTCCAAATACAAAGTGACCGTGGGGGAGGTCCAGAGGAGACTGTCCCCTCCAGAGTGCCTCAACGCCTCACTGCTGGGGGGCGTGCTCAGAAGGTAGCATATCGATACAATAACATATATTGCATTTAAATAGGACATTTTCAACAGTTTTGTTACCTCCTTTTTTTTTTTCTTTTTTTAAATTGAACCAGTTATAATTCATCTACTGTAATCTGTAATATCAGGGATTAAAGAGACATAAATGCAATTAAGGCATGTGGTAATTTAACAAAACAACACATCTATCTATCTACCTTGGAATAAAAAGCATCTATAGTAATTGATCTTACCTTTTCACATATGGAGCCCCTGACTTATAACACATAGAATTAAATCTGTATTATATCCTTAATCTTTTGTATTTTGTAGAGCAAAGTCTAAAAATGGAGGCAAGTGTCTACGAGAGAAGCTGGAGAAGATCGGGCTGAATTTACCGGCCGGGAGACGCAAGGCCGCTAACGTCACACTGCTCACCTCTCTGGTAGAAGGTAGGACAATTCATTTAGTGTCCATTCACACATCCACACGCATGACTGTAATTATTATAGAGAGTTATAGGACAATCACTCTCACATTGGACAGGGAAAGAAGGAGATAATTAACTCAACAGTTCAATTAACTATTCAGACCCTGTCACGGTACAATTGCTTTCTGTAACAGCAAAAGTCTTTTAGTTCATTCATTTAAATCTGTCTGTAGTTTGAGTTAAGTGGCATTTTGCCTCACAATTGTTAGCATACATAATAAGGACATTTTGATTAAAAACAGGGGCACACACTGAAATCATTAGAAATCAACAATGGATTTTTTGGTTAACTGGAACATATTTGAATATATATTGAATACATATTGAACAGCACACCCTGTCTTAAGATTACAAAAAAGTTGAGAAAAAGTCTTTCTGCTCACCCACACATCCCCTTATCTCACAATGCCAAATAATGCCAAACAATTGACAAGAATTTTTTCATTTTAAGTAGTTATATTTAAACTGTATCTGGGACAACAGTGGCATAGTATGTTAAACCAAATTTTTGCTAGGTTCACATTTGTATTAGGTTGCAAAAACACAGTTACATTCAGTTACATCTATCATAATATTCAGTATCTGAGACAATACTGATTAAAAATATCAACTCAACTTAAAATATACAAAAATACATGTATGAAAAATATGAAGGAAATAAAAAACAAACATTTGAAAATTTTATCTAGGTATGGGACGATAATTGAACTTTTGTGTCACGATAATTGACAAAAAATAATTGTGATTAATGATAATATCTCAATAATCATTTAAATTATTGACAGTTTGAAATGTAAATATATTTAAGTTAAAAAAGAGCAACAGTAATAACAGAATAGTTCTTTGTTAGTGAAAACAGGAGTGATCTAGCAGAGAAAATCATGCATAAGTAGCTTCTTTCTACACACTTGTATTATTATTGCTGTAATTATCTTTTATTACAATTATAAGAGTTATCATTATTGATTGTCCCGTCACACCCTCTCATCCACAGGCGAGGCGGTGCACTTGGCGAGGGACTTTGGTTACATCTGTGAGACTGAGTTCCCCACCAAAGCAGTGAGCGAGTACCTGAACCGCCAGCATACTGACCCCAACGAGCTACACACCCGCAAGAACATGCTCATCGCCACCAAGTGAGTGCTACAGCTGCCCTTCTCACAGATATCGGTATTGGTCAAGTATCGAAAACTCAATATTTGCCACTGATAAGTCCAGCATAAGTCAGTTGCCAGTGCAGCAGATTTGTTTTTTTGAATAAACTAGTGAGTAAAAATGGAAAGAGAAGAGGAAATAGACCTAAAATATGGTTGTATACAATCATGCAACAAATTATTTAAAACACAGATATACATTTTGTTATTATTTCTACAAAAGGGAAAAGGACCACAGCAGGAAGTCAAATCCATATTGGACCATTCCTATACAAAGCCGAAACAGAAGCCAAATAATGTACTTTATATGTACTAGAGTGACTATTTTACCATTTTGATTGTACTAATAAGGTATGGAAATTCACTGCAAAACAACAACATTATCCTTTACGTCTAGAAAGCAATGCAAAGAAGAATCCAAACTACAGTACAGATAATATTTACGAATGTACAAAACAATAAAATGCTATTATAATGTATTAGGTTCTTTTAATATTGGAACAAGACATTCTGTGTTCACGGATCTCTCTGGAATGGGACAGTAGTCAGAATTTATATACTAAATGCATGGTATTTTTATATACATGACAAAAATACACAATTGTTGGTCCATTTAGTCACATTATCATTCTCCTTATCCTATATCCGTACAGTGCAGAATTAAATATTTTACCTGCCCCCATCTCAAGTGGACTACTGAATGTCATTTGCTATCCTGCCACAATATGGGCCATAAACGTGCATATAGAAAAGCAATAAAGAGAATGGCATTAAAAGCTATGGAAATATTCAAATGGGGAAATAAGCTATTGTTGTAGTGAGAAGGACCCCAGGACTGGCTGAGGGCTGTCCGGGGTTGTCACTGAAATTTAAATTGTTAAAATGTTCGAAAAAATCATTATGAGGCATTACAAATTTAAACTCGTCATGACTATTAATACCTTTTACACCTGATATATATCTATTAGGGATGTAACAATAACCGAAATATCGTGATATGGTATCGTCAAAAGTCTCACAATAATATCATGGGCTGTCGCAATATATCGAATTACAAGTTTCTTCGCTTAAATGCATGGTTTTATAGTAGCAACAGCTTATGAACATCGGAAACTACATATCCCATGATTCATTTCAGTGCAGAAAACATGGAGATATATGTTATTTACTTGAATTCTTGGGATTATGACGAAAATAATTCACACCAAAATCTTGTCAAGGTATTTTAAAAGCAAAAAAGTGTCCTATCTACAATTATATTAGCCTCTTCAAAATATCGCAATAAATATCATACAGTGAGATGCACATCGTGATAATATTGTACTGTGAGGTTTAGATATCATTAGATTCCTAATATCTATGGTTTACTTGTAAAGCTATACCAAAAGATAGACAAAGCAATCACACTGACACATTCATATATTATGGTAGTAAAGTAAAGTGTATTGCCCAAGGACACAACAGCAGTTTGAACCAGAGCAAATGGGAGTCAAACCACCAAACCAACCTTCATGTTATAGTTAAAATGTAAGATCTTTATCAGACATTGCAAATTTAAACTAAATCACACTGATGCGTTCATGTGCTTTGGTGGAAGAAATATCTTGCCTAAGGACACAACTACGGCTTGAACTGGAGAGATTGGGAGTCAAACTACCAACCATCATGCTAAAAAACACTCCTTCATCACCCTCTCGTAAACGTCCAATATAATCTTTCAGTTTAGGTATGAAAATGAATGGGTCTTGGCTGTCTAGATCGCACATGGGGTAATTTCCATAACTTTGACATCAGGATAAAAAATCTAACCCGTAATAATAATGAAAGAGGAGGGTTGATTAAGGGCTGAAATGCACTTCTGGTAGAAATAATGGCATTTCTCGTATCCATTTTTCTCTGTCCCATATTTTCAATAAAGACAATGACATTTGAATATGAATTGTATAATGGCTACACTTACAGGGTGAAGCACGGGACATTTATATTCCCCAAATGGGATCCAAATTAAATCATATGAAATTAAACACTGTTGCTTTTTTGAGAGCCCTGAGGGACAATGCCATACTAATAATATAATATGTGTTTGCCCATATCACATATATATATAGGAAACAATCAAATAAATCTTATCTTAAATGTCATTGAATTAACTTTTGACATAATAGCTGATTAAGAAATAATGCGTTTGAAATTTAAGCTTTTTATACAAATCCGAACAAATCTGTTTACTGTAACAAGGTTGGGAAAATGGAAAGGGCATCTGACACAAAATCAATAACACATAGGAGGTAGAAGATGATTTGCCTGGATATCAATTATGTCAATCTATGTCAATAAAGTAACAATAAAAAAAAAATTAAAACAAATTTTCAGAAAAAGAAATGGTGACATGGGGAGACAATTTATAATGTTTTATTTGCTTAACCCTAACCAGTAGGTTTTAGATAATTGTATAAAATTAGTATAACATTTCTTATTCCTACACATTTATGTTGCTTTTAATAGTCATTCAAGCGTGCTACCAACTTTTGTTTTTGGATTGTTTTTCTGAGTCCAATCATTTGTTTGGTAGTAATGAAACCTGCCCATTAGCCGTGCACCTGGCAGATGCACCTTGAGGAAGCCTGTATTTTTAGCTTGCATAAACAGTCTGCTGGCCTTCGCTGCATAATCCACCTATGTGTGTGTGTGTTTGTGTGTGTATGTGTGTGCGGATTCACTCGATATGCACGCTGCGTTGGCTTGGCTTGTTTGATGCTCACATCCAAACCTGTTCCAATACCGTGCCTGTTAGAAATTCATTATTTAGCAGTGGAGTGTTTCAAGTCGTGGCGAAACAACAGCTCCGCGGCCCTGGGTGTAGCCCGGGGTGGCCCTCTACCCCCCACCCCAGCTGGGCCTGTCCCGCGCAGCCTGTCACTCATGCGCCGCAGCTCTTGCCTAAGGCCTCGAGCAGGGAGGGGAGGGGGAGGGCTGTGTGCGTATGAATATAAAGTACATGGGCCTGAGACCGCCAGCGTTATAGGGAAATCTCACTAGCAAGACAGGCTACATGTGAATGATAAACACTGGGGCTCATATTTGACTTTTGTGATAATCAATGAGCAGGACAAAAAATCTGCTTGTTTGATAATTAAACTGGTTTCTAAAAGGGTAACACTAAATAGCAATGTTATATTTATTCAAATATTTACAAATATTGAAGCTAAACTGTGTTTATACTTTATACTGACAAGGTGTTTTAAGAATAGATAATGAATCAATAGTGCAGAAGTGCCTTGTTTTTGGCATGTAATGTAAAATTGTAGATTTTATCAAAGTGCAAATATGCTGTCATAGACAGCTGGATAACTGTATGTGTCTTCAGCCAAACCCAAAATTAGTTTATTAAAAACAAAACCTCCTTATCTACGCTAAACACATGACAGAGGTGAGGGTAAACAAAAAAGACAAGTGTGTACATGTGAGTTTGTACATCTTTTGCAAACATCTTTACATTTTCCTAACTCATATCAGCAACTTCAGGTTTAAGATAGTCACCAACAAACTATAAGGTTGATGGTTTGACTCCTGATCTCAAAGAGCAAGGTGTAAAACGGTGTTTGTGTGTTCACTGGTGGTCAGAGAGGCTCGTGTTGAAGTACAAATCCCACATCACTGCCCGTCTGTCATATAAATACATAAATACTGATGAAGTTCAATGAAACTCTAAATTGTTTTTAAGTTACACTAAGGAAAACTTGTCTCTTGTCCCTCTTCATTTGACCCATGCTTCTCCCATACACCCTCGTTATCTGATTTCTCTCTTGTTCATCTGCATTTGACCCATCCTTACACATACACCCTCTTTATCTGACTTATCTGTTTTGCATTTGACTAACTTTTTCCTATACACCGTCTTTATTTGACCTGTCTCTTATACCTCTGCATTTGACCCACTGTTCATCCGTACACCCTCCTTATCTGACCTGTCTCTTGTCCCCTCGCAGACAGCTGTGTAAGGAGTTCACAGACCTGCTGGCCCAGGACAGGACTCCTCTGGGGAACTCACGGCCCACCCCCATCCTGGAGCCGGGCATCCAGAGCTGCCTGTCCCACTTCAGCTTCATCACGCACGGCTTCGGCTCTCCGGCCATCTGCGCCGCCCTGACCGCCCTGCAGAACTACCTCACCGAGGCTCTCAAAGGACTGGACAAGATGTTCCTTAACAACCCGCCCAACAACCGGCACGAGGGAAACAAGGGCGCGGATAAGGACGACAAACAGCGGAAATGAAAAGGAAACTTGGGACAGACCAACGGACAGGAGGCGGGATACTTCTAGCTTTACACCACACTGCTAACTGACCGCAAAAGGGGGCCGAAGGGTGGAGAGGCGGAGAGGTGGAGGATGGCTGGAGATAGCCCTGGGCCAGTGTCAGCGCGCACCAAGGGATTTTTCATCTGCGTTACGTTCTTTTGGTTTCCCCCGAGGACATGGTGCTTACTGTGGTCCATCATTTTTTGACCCCCCTCCCCTCTCTCCTCCCTCTGCCTGCATCCTGAGAGACTAAGGCTTGATCGGCCGATAACAGCTTTGTGTGTGTGAGTGTGCATGAGGAGAGAGAGTGTGTGTGTTTCTTAACATTTGTGTGTGTGTGCAGACAGTAGAAAGTAATGGACAAAAGGACCAGGGGCTTATGGGTAATGTCATGTGGAAGAAAGAGTTGGTGCCAAAAAGCCTGGTTATACAGTTGACAGTTGAAGAGTTACATTGGGTTGTGTGCAGTGGAGTGAAGTTACATAGACAGAATGCTTTTTGGCAACTATTTATTTAATTGGATTTGAATGTTTTATTAATTTGTAGAGTTTAAAGCAACCAGTGATCAAATTTGAATGAATTGATATGCCCAGCAAAAGTAAGTTTTTGAGATTTTTTGATGGGGGAATCAAGAGACACATATTCTGAGGTGTGGTTGGATCAACTTACCTTGTCATGAAAAGTTTTGAGTCATGATTTGTGGCTTTTATTTCTGGATATTACATTGGAAAAGTCCACAGCCCCATTTGAAAGAGGGACAGAAGGAAATCCTCAAATTAGAAAACCATAATGGATACTGATATGGTAAAGAACATATTAATAGAAATGTCATGTCAGTCAAAATGGTGGAACATGGAGGTCTCACTATTGAATGTCGCTACAACTTTTTTGTATGGGATGCTTTTTAGACTATTCTACAATGTCCATTCCTTCCTACTGTCTCTGGATCCCACACAGAAATGCATTGTGGGTAAGAGGGTGAAGTGAAACCGATTCTCCTGGTTACTGAACAAAAACATGGAGCTGTGATGTTAATTTATGTGTGTAAATATTATTTATATTAATTTAAATGGGTGGTTGTGTAAATAGGTGCGCCAGCTATTTTTGGAGTAGACCTATTTATCTGTGATTTGACCTTTGTGACCTTTGGGGGACAGGATCGTGGTGTTTTTCTGTTCTTCTAGAGCTGTTGTCATGGTGATGATGATGATGGGTAGACATGCTTCTAATTGTCCAGTGATTTCATTTCTATCACATTGATAATAAACATGTGTTTTATTACGACGGGTGTGCCCACAGCGCCTTTTCTATTGGGATATCTACTTACAGATTATAGATAAAAACATAAGATCTGAGACAAATGAAAATATTCAGTTATTGAAATGAAAAAACTACATTATTACAATGATTTTGAGGAGTGGTACAGTGGGTTAAGCATGAAGTTGGAGTATATAGTTTAGAGAAGAATACAGTACATTTTGATGTGTTCCAGCCAGAGCAAGACACTTCATGCACAACCCTAACCCTCATTAAAGTATTAGTATAAAATAATGATTGAACTGTATATAGCCGTCACATTAGGAAAATGGTAAATGATTTGAATGGATAAGAACAAGCACTGGTGAGATAGTCTGAGGTGGATAACAAGTATGAGTAGTGCATGAGACATATTGCACTAGACATATTAAAAATAAGAGTTAGTTAAAAGTTATGGTAATTGAACAAAAACTAAAAAATATAGATTTAGAATTTGCAGCTGAACTTCAGTAAGATGTATTTCATATTTATTTAAAAGTTTATTAATTTATGTGCCAAGAGGACTAAACAGTCTATTCAAATCTCCCGTAACAAAAATTTTGATGGATTGATCACAAATACAGTTACTATTTTCTTCCAAATCATTAACATGCATGACATCATCTCATCTTATAACTGCAGATAATTGCCTGTACATCAGCCTGGTTTGGGAGGACGCCTTTCAGTTTCTCTCTCATACACACACACACACACACAGACTTTCACACACACAAACACACAAGCACATGCACACACACAGAGGGGGGTACTAGAAGTGGTGCCTCGCGGGCCGCTCGTGTGCTTAGCCGGTACACTACACGCTAATGACCAGACCAGGGAGCTCCACCAGGGGAGAGCGACTCCATGGAAAGATAATAAGCAGGAGAAGAAGATGGGATGGGAGAGAAGAGGAGAGGAGAAAGAGAGTGTCCCACGGGCGAAGGGTGACCCGTGGAGTGGAACGCGCCGTGACGCAGGTGCAGAGTTCAGCACCCCAATGTCCCGGAGCTATGTCCCTACCCCCCCACCCCGCCAACCCTAACCTGTCTCCGTCCTGCAACCAGGGTAGAGTGGCTCAAAGCTTGAGCTGCAACGATCAAAAAATATATCCTGATTATTATTTCCATATCCAATTACATGGAAAATTTTAAACAGATCCTAGAGTTAAAGTTGAGTCTTGGAATTTTTGTAGTTGTGGTAGCACTGACAGTAAAATTGGAGGAAATCAACATCAAATTTGTTATGATTGATGATAATTGTATTACATTACAGAGGCAATTTGGTTAACACTCTTGCCCCACAGCCAGAAGTTCACCAGTTTGATTGCCTGGATAGGATCATTCTCTGGGTCTTGGTTGAGATCTGGTTAAGAGTGCAGTGCCACCAACTCCTTCTGTGTCAAACATCAAGGAAAAATATCCCCATGGGAACAATAAAGCATATTTTTATTTATATACAAGTCATAACTCTTGTATTACAAACATAATTGAAAAAAATATTAAGTTTGATAGCGTTTTGGAAATGATTATTTGTTTTGCTTGCTACAACCAACTTATTTACCTAGGAAGAAAATAAAGCTCATATGGTCAACAACAGGAAGTGGTAGTTCATATCAGTAATTTCCCCACACAACAGATGTTTTCAATGTTTTTTTTTTTATCGATGAAAACATAAAAATATTTATCAAAGTAAGGAATTTTCTAGGTAGCTACAATATCTGTTATATAACACATAATTTCACTTCAACTTTTCCTGAACTGTGTGACCAGCAGTTATTTTGTCCCAGTGTATGTTCATGTACAGCCCAAGGGATTTTTAAATGTTTGTCAGCAAATATGCACTGTAAATTTTGAAGTTACAGTACAGAGTGTAAGGTATTATATTAAACTAATTAATTTATTTATATAATCCATTAACACTAAAACCCAAAACATACTTATTTGTGATAAATTGGTTTTAATGGTACTTTTTTCTTATTTTTTTAAAAGAAATTCTGTGTATAATGTTCATTGCACCATGCCACTCACAGTTTAACTCTTAAAATGACCTAAAAAATACAAAATAAGTAAGTAATACATTTGTTAAAAGAGTTTATATAGATTTTTTGTCTGATTTGCAATATATACGGCTTTATCTAACAGTAGTCTGAAAGCTCTTATACTTCCTGGTGCAGATGCCCGGCCTGTAGTAATTCCAGCTCGGGGGCACTGCATCACCCCGGGCGTCTCAAGCACGGCACTGGATATTTCATTATTCATTAATTTACTGTTTAACAAATCCTGTCATTACTGAACCAGGGCCACGTCCGCACACATACACACACATTCACACGGGGGGAGCTCTTAGGCGTGGCGAATGGGTGCGTTTGATCCAGGGGGCCCTCCGCACAAGCACACAGAGGACCATGAATAATAAGAAGCGCGGAGAGGATAGGGGAGCGTGACAAGCGTCTGACAAAAAGCCCTTTAGCCAGAGTCCTCCTCACCCCGGGCGCGCACCGCATTATATCAAAAGACAAAAACAAACAGTTGGCACAGGCGTGATCGATACCAGGGCAAGGCTCCCCCCCTCTTTCTCCAAAACAATGAATGAACGGCTATTGGACAAAAGATGCTAACTCTCTTCTTTCAACTGTAGAAGACAGAGGCAGGGGTGTGCTGTTTTGGTCTGTTAATACGATCAGGATTACATGTGTGGATGTGTGGATGTGTTTTGGCTCCGGTAGCTAAGGCAAAAGCACTTTAAGAAATAATGAACTTGTACAATAATTGTCTTCACTAAGCATTTTCGGTCTAGAGTGCCAAATTAATTAAGAAAAGAAGCCTGTAGAAATGGGTGGAGTAGCCAAAAATGTATTTGTAAGTAAGTACATACAACTCAAAGGGTAATTGGTGGTTTTCAGATTCGAGAATGTAATGATTTCATACTCCCAGATGGGGGGCAACATTTCGTATTGAATATACTGCTCTATAATAAAAAAAAAATTAATTAAAAAGTAAAAGTAAATTCTAAAACCTGCCCTATAATAATAGTAGTTCATAAAAAGTAACTAATCTCAAGTAAATCTGACTTATAACTTTAAATAACATAGCTAATTCACAAACTCGTTACCATTCACTAATAAAGGCAACAACGTATATTAATATAAACAAAAGTTAAAGGAGTTTTTGGGTATTTTGAGACCATGCAATTTTTTTTTTAAATTCACCAACAATCTAGAGATTCTGCTCAATAAAAACTGGGAAAGATAGGTCAAAATTTTAATAAATTACAAAAATTTTGATAGACTTTTTTCTTATACTTTAGTACCAATATCAGCGGAGGGCACTTACTTAGTCTATATATCCATTCCCTTGCAGTGGTGGCAGAAAATAGTTCTGTGTGTGTGTGTGTGTGTGCTTACCCTGCGGTGTGTGCGGTCTGTGGGTGGCCTTGGACTTGATGTCATTAACATGTGACATATGCAGAGCTGACTGGAAGTGTCTGTAGGCCAGTGCTGTCTCTCTCCTCCGCTCCGCCACTGCTGTTCTTCTAACTGGAGGGGCCAAAACCGAAAACATCCAAGCACCCGACCAGCCAAGCCACAGCACTGCCTGCCCCCCTCCCCGATCCGCAACCTGTTTATCAGCGACGGGCAGGGTGCATGTAGCTGGAGGTTTGTGTGGTTCTTGTAGGGGGCA